GATAACAATGCAAAACAAGAATAGGAAGATATTTTGACGCTACAATACATCTAATCTTACAATAAATACACGATAGTGCTTTACCTTTCCTTATAAATAGCATTTCAAAATACGTAATAAATAGTATTTCAAAGTTCTAAAAAACAATTATGCCAAAAATAAGACTTGGACTTCGCTATTGCTTCCATGAATAATCACTAGGAGCCTTGTGATAAAATTAAATAAATAAATAAATGGATTGTATATCATATGACCGTTAGAAAGCCATGATGATTCATGGCGATCAGATGTGAAATTAAGCAGTTTGTATGACATATACCTAGGTCCAATTTTACATCTAATGGTTATGTATGATTTTGATGCTCTTGCACTAGGCATAAATTGTCTCATTCCATATTCTCCAATAGATAATTTTAACCTTTTTTACATGTTATCCAGTAACACCTCGATCTTGCATTGAGATTTGAGACACATTGACCTAGATTAAGAGTCCCATGCCATCAAGTGTGGCATGGTCTCACAAGATCATTTCCCTTGTACTAAAGAGTTTCACGTACTTTTCCCACGGCATCCTCGTCTTCCCCATCCTCAACATTTCTCGGCACCTGGCTGCTCTGCATTGTTCCCACAATGAGACTGCTATGGAGAATACAAAGAGAGAATAGGAATGAAGGAAGGGAGAGGGGGGATTTGCAGGTAAAACCTACGTCAAGATATGGAGTAGAATCATCATAACTCTTCGTACAAAGTACACAAGAGTAAAAAAGCATTTTACCCTAATAACTTTAGAGAGAACATATGATGGCAGAGATGCTTTATGACTCATAAAATACAAGATAGTGAACATTAAATGAGGCGTACAATGCTCACAAGGTTTTAAAAATGACATATTTTTGTTGTCATAACCGGTGGAATAGCTGTTATTTTCAAACATCACCTGTTATTTCGAAATATCTACTGCAAAATTTGCTCTCACATCCAATCCATGTTACATTATATGGTCCTTATAACTCTCAACAACACTGATTATCATCTCTGATAAGATTATTT